GGGCTTGCTTCACAAGATGAAACGTCTTGCGAGTTCTTGCGAGTTTGTTTCCTTTTTCTTAAAGCTGCTAAGCCGCTAAGCCGTTAATAGCCGCTAAGCCGCTAAGCCGCTAATAGCCGCTAAGCCGCTAATAGCCGTGCTTCGCAAGACGAAAAAACCGCAAGACGAAGAGACTCGCGGAACAGATTAATTTTGTCTTGCGAGGCACCACTGTATATCTCTAGGAGAAGACTAGGGGGTCTCCAAACAAACTTGGATTCTTTGAGGGACTCCGTGACTGTTAAAGTGGTATAAGAGTGCTTTAAATGATGCTTTAATTAAGATTCCTGCGTTGCAGGGGGTTGGACTAGATGACCCCCAGGATCCCTTCCAACTCTACAATTCTGTGATTCTATGAATGCTATAGATAACAAATGGCTTTTTTAAAAAAGCCTCAAATCTGTGACAAGAAAAGATGTAACCCTAGTTGCTGGATGAACTTGTCTGACTATGATGCATGTCTGTGTGTGTGTGTGTGTGTGTGAGAGAGAGAGAGAGAGAGAGAGAGAGAATAAATTATCATTAACAGCTATATGGAAAGGGATGTTGGAGACAAAACTCTGTTAATTTGTTGCTATCTCCAGCTCTTTCTTTCTTTGGCCCAGTTTCTACATTTACCATTCTTCTGATAGGCAGAAATTCAGCAGGTGGGGAGGATGTGAGTCATTGCAATTAATGTGCATTGCTAGCTTAGTTCCATAAATTTCATTGGGTCTACTCAATCAGTATGACCAGCATTGGAATTGCTTTGGATTGCTTTGAAGTCATTTCATTCTGCACCAGTGAAAGTAATTTTTAGCCCTCCCCCCCCCCATTTCACCACCACGCCTGGACTTCTCCCATATTTTGCCCGACCAAAGGTGTCAACCCTACTTTCATCAGATTTCTGGACAGGTTTTTTTAGCCTACTAAGAGGCTTCAAATGTCGAATGGAAGTGTGGGCTTATGTGAAGGTGTATTTCAAAATGCACCGACACTCTCTAACAAAGCAAGGTCAAATGCTAAGCTCATATGTAGAAATATACACTTTTAAATCTATATGCGAAGATGTGTCATGCAACATCCACATTTTTCCATTTAAGAATAAATTGCTTGGCAGTGTATAGGTTCCTATTACATCCAGGTAGTCTCTGTAAACAATTGTTGCAAGCCTAGTCATTTGCAAATTAAGCCAGCAGTCCTTTCTGAAGCTAGCAATTAGCATATAACTAGGTCCCTGGGTAGGGGCGGAGCAGATTCTGAGGTCCCTTGAGTCAGTTTTAGATTCCTCCTGGAAGTCGTCATGTTCTTAGAGTCATCATTAACATCATGAAACAACTTGGGTGTTCTGCTGAATAACAATTAGGTACAATTAGCATTGAATCCAGAGACACTGGCATAACATATAGGAATGACATACTTCCTTTTCAAACATTGTAATCAATGTGCAAGATCTTCTTCAGGAGGTGCTCTACTTTTCCAGGCCCTTTGCGCAAGGACTGTGTAAGAAAATCATTTGAGCTGTACGTCTTGCTGATGCATTCTGTACCAGCTGGAGTTTCTGCCCCAAGGCCAAGGGCAGCCCCAAGGAAAGCACATTGCAGTAATCTAGTCTCAAGTTTACAAAAAGGACTACAAAGTGGCCACGTTATCCCAATCCAATTAGTGAAGGTTCAAACATATTGTTTCACGGTGCCTTCCTTTCCAAGCCACCCCCAAACACTGCGGCCACCACCTCCTCCCCCTCAGGGCTGGAAGGGGGGTCACTTTAGGTGTGCCTTGGGCGCTTGAGGGCACCAGCTGCTTCTGAATGAGGCTCGGGTGTCTTCATGAGAGTGCACTGAGGGTCAGGGAGACAAAGACCCCTGCTCCTGAAGAAACAGAAAGGATGCCCCACGTAGGATGGAATAATAATAATATTAATAATTTTATTATTTCTATCCTGCCCATCTGGCTGGGTTGCAATGGGACAGGTGTGCCTCTTCAGAGTTTGTGGTCCAGGGGGATGGGTGCTTGAGCTCTAGGCTCCTGCTTTAAGCCACTGGGTGCTTGTGATGCCATTGAATGCAATGAGTTGTGGCCGTTGCCTGAAGATTTGTTCTGCAGGAAGAGGAGGAGGGACTCTCCCTGCGCTCTTGCTTAAAGGCTGGGTTCGGAGGCTGGTGCAGCGTCTACGGCCATACTACCCTGAACACGCCCGCTCTCGTCTGATCTCGGAAGCTAAGCAGGGTCAGGCCTGGTTAGTACTTGGATGGGAGACCGCCTGGGAATACCGGGTGCCATAGGCTTTTGCCTCCTTTTGCCGCTCAGCGGCCCCGCTTTCAACTCTGCCCCTCCACTTGCCGCCCATTTCATGCCAGGCGCTGCGGCCTGCTCTGTCGATCTTTCCTTTCACTTGCTTTCCTTCTGACCTGCCCCTTTCAAACCTGCTTGCATGTGGAAAGCATCCAGGGCCCAAAATGAGCTACTACGCCGAGAATTGCTAGGCCAAAGGCTGACCGCCGACAAATGTGCTTTCACCACCGCTGGAGAGTGCCAGCCGATGGACATCAAGTGCTCCAGAGGAGAGCTGCAAGCGGAATGCATCTGCAGATTTGCTTTCCTTCTGACCTGCACCTTTCGAACCTGCTTTTCCTTTGCAAGGCCCTGTCCCCGCCCCCTGCTCTGCTCAGGGAGGTATGCAAGCATTTAAAGTCACAGCTCAGCTGAAATCTATCAAGAGACAGCAACTGCTGGAGGTGAAGTGCAGCACAGGAGAGCTGCAAGTGGAAAGCGTCCGCAGGCTGTTCAGTTAAATTGTATTCAGAGACAACCACAAATGGACAGGAACTATGCAACGTGAAAGCTGCATGTGGAATCGTGCCTTTCCTTTCTAACCTTTAAAAAGCAAATTAGAAGAAAGATCGAAAGGTGCAGACAGCAACGCCTGGCATGAAATGGGTGGCAAGTGGAGGAGCAGAGTTCAAAGCGGCAAAGCCTACGGCACCTGGTATTCCCAGGCGGTCTCCCATCCAAGTACTAACCAGGCCTGACCCTGCTTAGCTTCCAAGATCAGGCATGTTCAGGGTAGTATGGCCGTAGACGCTGTACCAGCCTCCGAACCCAGCCTTTAAGCAAGAGCGCAGGGAAAGCGCCTCCCCCGAGGCCCTGGATGCTTTCCCCACGCAGCTTTCGCCTTGCGTAGCTCCTGTCCATTCGTGGCTGTCTTTGAATGCAATTCAACCAAACAGCCTGCAGATGCATTCCGCTTGCAGCTCTCCTCTGGAGCACTTGATGTCCAGCAGCTGGCGCTCTCCAGCGGTGGTGAAAGCACATTTGTCGGCGGTCAGCCTTTGGCCTAGCAATTCTCGGCGTAGTAGCTCATTCTGGGCCCTGGATGCTTTCCAAGTGCAAGCAGGTTTGAAAGGGGCAGGTCAGAAGGAAAGCAAGTGAAAGGAAAGATCGAAAGAGCAGGCCGCAGCGCCTGGCATGAAATGGGCGGCAAGGGGAGGGGCAGAGTTGAAAGCGGGGCCGCTGAGCGGCAAAGGAGGCAAAAGCCTACGGCACCCGGTATTCCCAGGCGGTCTCCCATCCAAGTACTAACCAGGCCTGACCCTGCTTAGCTTCCGAGATCAGACGAGATCGGGCGTGTTCAGGGTAGTATGGCCGTAGACGCTGCACCAGCCTCCAAACCCAGCCTTTAAGCAAGAGCGCAGGGAGAGTCCCTCCTCCTCTTCCTGCAGAACAAATCTTCAGGCAACAGCCACAACTCACAGTATTCAACAGCAGTTAGCCCTCCGCTCTTTCATCACAAGCACACACTTGCACCTGCCTGCCCCTCGTAACATTCTCCCCAATGCAACCAACCTGCACCAGACTCACTGGCTCACCAGTGGCCACACCCCACACCACTCAACCTATCTCACATGCTTCTCCCACCACGCCAAAGGTGATCAAGGCGGCGCAGGGCCACCACTCCAACATCAGCCCCGGTCTAATTTATAATGTAAAAATCTGAGGACAAATTGGAATGGATGGGTGAATGAAAAGACAGGGAGCATGTACCAGTGAAGCTACAGAATTCATATTCAGTCCTTTAAAATACTCAGAAGTCATTGAAAAAGATGCTCAAATATACCTTTCCCAAAAAGCCAGAAGCCTTTTGCTGGGCTTGATGGGAGAGGAAACAGCAAAGGCAGATCAAAGACTATTTATGTACGCCACAACTGCGGCGAGAACTTTATTAGCCCAAAAGTGGAAGTTACAGGAATTACCGACGATGGAGGAGTGGCATACAAAGATGATGGACTATGCGGAGCTGGCAAAACTGACCTGCAGAATTTGAAACCACAACGAACTAAAATTCCAAAGAGACTGGAGTAAATTCATTGACTATATAAATAATAACTGTAGAAGTTTGAAGACACTAGCAGGACTGAAATAAATCCTACAACGTGGACTTTATAAAATAAGATTAAACTGTGAGATATAGATTTGAAAAGGGAAAGCTTGTTGGCGGGATGGAGGGAAGTCATAAGCTCAGTAGAGCGGTAGGGAATGAGATTGGTAGGTGTATATTGGAAATTATTGTTTATTCCTTAAAGTGAAAGTTTAATAAAAATTATATTAAAAAAAATACTCAGAAGTCATGACTGAAAAATGCTTTTGTAAAAATACACTTTATTTTACAGGGCCACATGCTAAATTTTACACGTGTGCAATTTTTCACATTTGATGAGAAGCGTGTGCATTTTCTCCCTGGGTATCATGAACCAGTCCTGCCAACCTAGCAGTTTGAAAGCACGTCAAAGTGCAAATAGATAAATAGGTACCGCTCCGGCGGGAAGGTAAACAGCATTTCTGTGCGCTGCTCTGGTTCGCCAGAAGCGGCTTAGTCATGCTGGCCACATGACCCGGAAGCTGTACACTGGCTCCCTCGGCCAATAAAGCGAGATGAGCGCCGCAACCCCAGAGTCGGTCACGACTGGACCTAATGGTCAGGGGTCCCTTTACCTTTTATCATGAACCAGAGTACATAAAATGTAATGTGACCATCTGCACTCAGGTGCAAATTGATTTCATTTTTCTCAGTGCTTTTACTCCTCAACAGGCTACTCTGAATGTGGGTGTTAGAACGATGGCATCTGTTCAGATCACTCATTGCCACTGTTCTCAGATCCTTTCATCCAGTTCTGTCATTTATTTCTACCTGAATTCTCTCACGAAACAATGCATGTATTACAGAATCACAGAATTATAGAGTTGGAAGGGACCATGAGGGTCATCTAGTCCAACTCCCTGCAATGAAGGAATCTTTTTGCCCAACATGGGGCTCAAACCTACGGCCTTGAGGTTAAGAATCTCTTGCTCTACAAATTGAGTAGATCAACCAGGCTATGGAGATGTAAAGTATAAAGCTTTGCAGTAGGAGCTGAAAAATCCCCAGTGAGCAATAAGCCACTCTAAACTCTCCAGCCTTGGTCTTCTGTGGGCTGTAGCCTAATGAGGAACAGCACAGAGCTTAAATGGGCGGGGATGCAACACAGCAGCTATTACAGGTTCAGTGTTCACTTCCTTCACTCCCTCTGGCAGCCGGAAGGTAAATGCTCTCACGAGGCTGGTAAACAAAACAAAGAGTTCCACCTGTGCTATGTGCTTCCCCAAGCATGCACGGCTTCCTGCAGAAGTAATAAACAGGAGAAAATAAGTATCACGTACCTGCATCACTCATTCTCTCAAGCGCCACATAATACTCCATAATTAAGAGTGCATGGTATACATTTGCATATGGTGCACAACCAAAGCATCTGAAGAACCTATGCAGAAGGGAAGGGAGATGGTGCACATGTCCACACAATGAGATGGAAGTCAGGACCACAATACCTCAAGGACCGCCTTCCCAATATGAACCAAACCAGGACCTGCGTCCATCATCTGAGACTCTTCTTCATGTGCCTCTTCTGAAAGAGGTCCAGAGGATGGCAATACAAGAATAAGCCTATTCTGTGGTGGCTCCCCACTTGTGGAATGCTCTCCCCAGGGAGGCTTGCCTGATGCCTTCCTTACATATCTTTAAGTGCCGCACAAAAATATTTCTCTATAACCAGGCCTTTGGCTGATTAAACATTCTATGGCCTTTTAAACCGGGATGGGTGGGTGGGTATTGTTTTGTTTGCAATTATGTTGTGCATTTTTGTGTTCTTATAATGTAAACCTTACCAACAAAGGTCCGTATAGCTAAAGCCATGGTTTTCCCAGTAGTGATGTATGGAAGTGAGAGCTGGACCATCAAGAAGGATGATCGCCGAAGAATTGATGCTTTTGAATTATGGTGCTGGAGGAGACTCTTGAGAGTCCCATGGACTGCAAGAAGATCAAACCTATCCATTCTTAAGGAGATCAGCCCTGAGTGCTCACTGGAAGGACAGAGCCTGAAGCTGAGGCTCCAAGACTTTGGCCACCTCATGAGAAGAGAAGACTCCCTGGAAAAGACCCTGATGTTGGGAAAGATGGAGGGCACAAGGAGAAGGGGACGACAGAGGACGAGATGGTTGGACGGTGTTCTCGAAGCTACAAACATGAGTCTGACCAAACTGCGGGAGGCAGTGGAAGACAGGAGGGCCTGGCGTGCTCTGGTCCATGGGGTCACGAAGAGTCGGACACGACTAACGACTAAACAACAACAAATGTAAACCTCTCTATGATCCTCAGATGAAGGGTGGTAAATAATGAGGAGGAGGAGGAGGAGGAGGAGGAGGAGGAGGAGGAGGAGGAGGAGGAGGAGAAGAAGAAGAAGAAGAAGAAGAAGAAGAAGAAGAAGAAGAAGAAGAAGAAGAAGTGTGCATACGGTTGACACTCAAGCTGCAATCCTGCACCTCTTTTGTGTGAGCAAGCCTAATTGATGTGGAAAGGGATAGCCTAATTTCTGTTGCCTACACTCTGGTATCCTCTAGGTTAGATTACTGAAACGCATTATACCTGGTGCTGCCTTTGGAGATAGTTCGGAAACTGCAGCTGATACAGAATTCAGAGGCCAGGTAGCTCACCGTGGCAAGACAATTTGAAGATATAGCACTAATCCTGGCCTGACTGCGCTGGCTACCAATTCATTTCTGGACCGAAGTCAAATTGCTGGTTTTGACCTAGAATGCTGTACCACTAATATAGTGGTACCTCGGGTTACATACGCTTCAGGTTACAGACTCCACTAACCCAGAAATAGTACCTCAGGTTAAGAACTTTGCTTCAGGATGAGAACAGAAATCGTGCGGCGTTGGCACAGCAACAGCAGGAGGCCCCATTAGCTGAAGTGGTGCTTCAGGTTAAGAACAGTTTCAGGTTAAGAACGGACTTCCAGAGCGAATTAAGTTCTTAACCTGAGGTACCACTGTACCTCAAAAACTTCCTCTCCCCATATGAACTGACCTGAACCCTGGGATAGTCATCTGAAGCTCTATTCCATGTTTCCCCCTCCATGGGAGGTCCACAAGAATGGGCCTTTTCGGTGGTGACTCCCCACTTGTGGGATTCGCTCCTCAGGGAGGCTCACCTGGCACCACCATTACATATCTTCAGATGCCAGGCAAAAAGATGTATTTTCTGCTAGGTCTCTGGCTTTTATTTCCCACCATGTTGGGGAAGCCTGAACTTAGAAGAGTGTTGCCAAGACTCCTCTGTCGAAATTGCTTGGCACGTAGTGTTGCCTGAACAAAGTTAAAAGGCTTGCATTTGATTGCGTCTTGGTTCCTTACTGGTCCTCTGCTGGCAGGTCCGAAAATTTAAAGGGTTACTTTCAAAAGCCTGTTATGGCTTCTCTGCATTTTCTCAGCTCCTCCTTCAAGATTTTGTCCTCAAAACAATCACTGCTGTTCAATATTGCAGGTCAAGTTTGCAGTTGTGCTTTCTAAAAGTCTGTGCATTTACCTGTTCCAAATGGGAGGAATTCATCTCTCACTATGAATTTCCCATCCTTATCTAGGAAGTGGTTAGGGTTGAACTGGCGAGGAGTCTCCCAAAGCTTGGGATCAAGATTAATAGAGCACAGATCAGGAATCACCAGAGTATTCTGCAAAGAAGAGAAAAGAGGGTTTAGCTATACTTCTTAATATCTTGGTCAGACAGGTATAGGTGGAGAACTCCTACATCAGGCTTCCTCAATCTTGGCCCTCCAGATGTTTTTGCCTACAACTCCCATGATCCCTAGCTAGCAGGACCAGTAGTCAGGGATGATGGGAATTGTAGTCTCAAAACATCTGGAGGGCTGAGGTTGAGGAAGCCTGTCCTACACCCAGGCCAGCAAATAGCCTATTAGGGCAAATGCTAGGACCTCTGGAGCAGTGTCATAGCATGGGTTGCCAGTGCCCAGGACCACGCACAGGCAGTGGGTGGGAGGGCTCATTCAACTGCCTAACGGCATCCGTATCACCCAGGAGATCACAGCCACAGAGATAAGAAAAGAAGAGGTGCTCTGTTGTCTGGAGAGGTCACTTCCTGGTTCGCACGGAGAAGCCATTTTCAATAGAGTCCAGCAATGAAAGTGCATGGTTGCATTGAAGCAGCACTGAGTGTTGACATTTTGCACCCCTAACAATTCTGAGCCCAGGACAACAGTCCCTGTGGCCTGCTCCCACACTATGACACTGTTCCGGAACACCCACCATAACCAACGACACGAGGCTTCTAGGTCCCCTTTAATTTATTTTGGCCAGGCACAGAAAGGAGCGCTGAGCTCAAGCAACTGGATTTGCCATTGCAGGGTTGTTCTAACTTCCTCACAGTGCAGTCAGTGTTGTGGGAAATGACAGCCACCTGCCCCACAGCCGGATTCACCAGTGTGGCTTCCATTAAAATTTTAAATTTAATTAAAATGATTTCCCCTCCACAATGAAATGTACATGTTCTAACACACACACATATATAGAAGTTCTGCGATAATGTGGTTAGAGGGATTGAAAGAATTAAATAATAATATAATAAAATATTAAATAAGAACATTATTATTAATTGCCCTGTGGAACGCCCTCCCATCAGATGTCAAGGAGATAAACAAGCATTTGACATTTAGAAGGCATCTGAAGGCAGCCCTGTATCGGAAAAATTTTAATGTGCTATGTTTTATGGTGTTCTTAATTTTTTGTTGGGAGCTGCCCGGAGAGGCTGGGGCTACTCAATCAGATGGGCAGGATATAAATAAAAAAATTATTATTATTAATTACCAGGTGTTCACTTCCAATGGACGCCTCTATTTGGCTGTGTTAAAGATCAGGATAGATAATTGGTCACAAATTTATTGACAGCTACCTGTATAACAATTTGTCGCAACAAGGACCCTGAGGGTGGATGATCAAAACCTTTGAAATAGCAAATACGATAAAACTGACGGGTTGTTTCAGAGTAAGAGAAGGAAGCCAACTTCATAATTGTTCCACAGAACAAAGAAATATATTCTTAATGTTGCAATAAAAGCCAAATCAATATTTATACTCCTAGGAATGCTGTAAGTCAAGCAAATTATTATTATTATTATTATTATTATTATTATTATTATTATTCTCCAGCCACTCTGGGCAGCTCTCAACAGAGGACTAAAAACAGAATAAAACTTCAAACATTAAAAACTTCCCTAAACAGGGCTGTCTTCAGATGTCTTCTAAAAGTCAGATAGTTGTTTATTTCCTTGACACCTGATGGGAGGGTGTTCCACAGGGTGGGTGCCACTACCAAGAAGGCCCTCTGCCTGGTTCCCTCACAGGGAGGGAACCGCCAGAAATCCCTCGGAGGTGGACCTCAGTGTCCGGGCTGAACGATGGGGGTGGAGACGCTCCTTCAGGTATACTGGGCTGAGGCCATTTAGGGCTTTAAAGGTCAGCACCAACACTTTGAATTGTGCTCCGAAACATTCTGGGAGCCAAGGTAGGTCTTTAAGGATATATATATTCAACATTTTCTGTCTGCTCACAAAAGGGCTCTTGCACTAGTGAATGGGTGAGTTTCAATGCCACTCAACAGAGGAATCCAACGCAACAATTGCACTAGCTAAAACTTGTTGCCAAACAAGCGTTCAACCTGGGAAAGAGGAGGGTGGTGGTAGAAGTCGCTCTGTACCTTTTCAATGAAGTTGCCAAGCACATTCATATCGTCTACACAAACTCTGGGTGCCCCAAATAGTATGACGTTGCTGAAGCGCTGCGTCTCCTTAATCACAGCACTGGTATAGGGCAATCGCTTCCGATCCTCATAGCAGACCAATTTGGAGGGGCTGAGAGCACTTCCTAGCTCCTTCTGGACTTGCTCTGAGGGCGGGGGAAAATGTGTTTCAATTCATAGGTGGGCAGAGGGAAGGTTGTATTTGGGAAGCACTCTTGTCTCAAAGGTCACCAGAGTGCCAGCCACTAAACAGCTGTGAAAGAGAACCCCTTGGCCCCTCCATGGGCCCTTGGCCCTTTATTGCACATTGAAGATGATTTGTTCTCACATTGCAATTGGGGCGGTCACACATGATCATGCTTTCTATTATGTCTGTGCCTGCAAATGTTTTGGGGTGGTCATGCTGCTTCATTTCCAATCAGTGCATATCCTCTAACTTCTTCCTGAAATCCCATCACTTTCTATGTGAAAGACATGATTTTCTGTCCTGCTTTTTCCCTTATTGGGGAAGCATCAGAGAACAAACTGAAGCAGAATCAATCAACCATGCTCTCAAATAATATATAGGGCTTCCCTCAATTACAACCCCAGAATTTTGTTTTAACATCTGGGCCTGCTTAATGTCATTTGGCAACCCAGCACAATATTGTCCACACCAACAGGGAACAGCTCTCCAGGGTTTCAGGGCTAGCTCAGCTGGTACAGCATAAGACTCTTAATCTCAGGGTTGTGGGTTCAAGCCCCACACTGGGCACAAGATTCCTGCATTGCAGGGAGTTGGACTAGACCCTTGCGGTCCCTTCCAACTCTACAATTCTGGTTCTAGACATTCCCAGCCCTAGCTAGAGATGCCAAGGACTGAACTTGGGATCTTTTGCATGCAAAGCAGAGGCTCTGCCACCGAGCTACAGCCTTCGCCCCTCCCAAGCTGTACATAGAACAGAATAAGCATCCTTCACTTGCGCCATACAGCCCCTCTCACCTTGAATATTGGGATGGGCCACCATAAAAAGCAAAGCCCAGGAGAGAGTGGCAACTAGAGTGTCTGTGCCTCCAGCAAACAGGTCAAAGATAACCTGTACCAGGTTGTCTTCATCAAACGTAGTTGTGGAGTCAATTTTCTCCTGTGGATTAGAAGCATGACATTTCAACCCAAGGTACTCAAAAGCTTGGCTGTCTCAGTTGCAACCACTGTGTTGCCTTTGCCCTGTGTGCAGTTCTTGAGACTAATTTTTACCTCCATTGTTGGCTCCATGGAAGCTTTGCCTCACTTCCTAGCTTGCAAGAACACTTGGGGTTTTGTGATTTGGTGGCAGCAGCCAGGATGGTGAGGCTGCACCATGAAGCCCCCCTCCTGCCACTGACCTAGGTCGGTGCACCAGTGGGAACACTAGATTCACTCTGTCGCTGGGCCTGTGTACCCACAACCTCACCTGTGTCCTGCCCCATCCAGGTAAACGGCAGCAATTTCGGTGTCAGATCCGCAGCCCTGCCCCACTGCACCAGCCATTCCTGTGATTTGGGAGCCGGTTAAGGCGTGGATGGGAAACAAGGCCTAGGGCCACTTTACCTTGTAGACAACTTAGTGGGGACCACATGCCAGTGGTGGGTGGGGCTGGAATAAAAATGAGTGTGGCCTGGCAAATGAATGGGTATGTTGATAATGGGACTGTGCAGCTGCAGACAGCAAACAAAAGAATTGCATGACTGTATGTGCCACCTGCGTCAAAAATACCTCTGCACACAGAAAAGCAGCATGTCAAGGGAGAAGCCGGACTAAGAACTTTCTCCCTGACAGGCTAGCTTTCTGCAGGTAGAGGATGTTGTTGTTGTTGTTGTTGTTGTTGTTGTTGTTGTAAATCAACATAGTAAGCCATAATTGTAAGCAAAACAAGTAACAGCCAGTGGAGAGAGTTCATATCCAGAACATCCAATCTTCAGAAACAATGCACAATTTAAATAAACAATTTATCACTAATACTGAACCGTCAGGGAGTGCTGCATCACTCCCAGTTGACTTCTATCCAAAACGGTACCATATTATTCAATATACTAAACAATGTGGACTGGAATGGATGCTGGTGCTGACACACAGGACCAATCCTTGCTTTTCTGTAAACTGCTTATAGATTTGTATTGTGTTAATTTGGTTTGGCTTATTTAAATGCTGCTTTACCACACCGCAAGTGATATTTATCCGTGGAAGAGGCTTATTCGCCCAGCTGGAAAAGCTTGTCGGAACAAAAATGCCTACAATTATTTCCAGGAGGTGCGGATAACGGCTGCCTGTCAGATCTTGATAGGAATGCAGTTCCACAGAACTAGGGCAACCATGCTAAAAGCTCCGAGTTGCTATGGAGAGGGCCTTGGATCTCTTCGCAACCTTTAGGAAATACTCTCCCATAGACTGCAGTGACCTACTGGCTATATACAAGATAAGGCAGCCTCTCAAGTAACCTAGTCCTGAACTGTATAGGGCTGTAATAGTTCAGTACTACATACCTGCCAACGTTTCTCCAATGAAAATAGGAACACTCTATTCATCACCATCATCATCATCATCATCATACCCTGCCCATCTGACTGGATTGCGCCAGCCAATCTGGGCAGCTTCCAACATATATAAATAAAATATTAAACACTAAAAATGTTCCCTATACAGGGCTGCCTTCAGATGTCTTCTAAAGGTTGTATAGTTACTTATCTCCTTAGCCGGTGGCGTTGCATAACTGCATACCTTCCAACATTTCTCTGATGAAACTAGGGACATCCTAAGGAAAAGCGGGACATTCCTGGATCAGATCAAAAACCGGGATGGCTTCTGTAAATCCAGTACTGTCCCTGGAAAATAGGGATACTTGGAGGGTCTGGTAGGAGCACCTTGAACAAGATATTTTCACCGTAACAGGAAATAAACAGGCTATGCTCAGTTAGGGAAAGAAAGTCTTGTGTGAGACTGTGGCGTTTGCCCCTAGGATGCGTCAAGGAAAGAGTTAAAAATGGGTGTGATGTGATTGGCCAGTGAGAATGTGAGGGGGGAGTAAAAGATAGAGTGGGAGGTTTTGAAAAGACAGTTGAGGTCTGGGAGTTGACAGTTGAGGTTTGGAAGTTGGGAGTTGAGGGTTGAGGGTTGTCAGTTGGGAGTTGAGGCTTGGGTTGGAGAAGGAAGAGGGTGGAATACGCAGTGGGTTGGTCGAGTTGTATTGTGAGAGAGTGAGAGGAATTGTTAGGGAGTTAGACAGATAGTTGGGAATAATTCAGTTTGAAGTTGTAGTAACTAAGATTTAAGAAACTGACAAGAGAAAAATAAACCGAAACCATACGCTTATTCCTGCACTTAAAAATAAACTTGATTAGTTGTTTATGTTAACTACTGTCTGGACTCCGTGTGTCCCCGTGAGAAGCGGGGTGGTGGCAGCGAAGAAAGCAACCGCAGTGGGGGCACAGGGTCAATAGACCGTGAAACGTCCGGGGGCCCTGTGTGATCGCCACAGAGACACAATTTCTTGTTGCAAAGCCACAGCTTCCCAGCCATTTGTGGGCGGCTTTTGTCTCAGTGGTTCATGAGCTGTGCCAAATTCAGGCACTCCAGCAGAAACTTACCTTGTCTATCTGAGCCAAATAGAGGTGAGTGTAGTCCTTTTGCTCCTGGGAAACCCCACCTTTCTGGCAATTTTCTACCTCCTTCCTGATAAAAGAACACATGAATTCACAGGAGGAGAAAACCATTTTGTGAGGCCCGGGAAGGTGCTGCATCAGTGAAGGGAAAGCGTTGTATAGCTGCAGGAAATGCAAAAGAAAATGTGTGAGTGTTGCTTTGGCAATGTAATCCCTGATCCCCCTGTTTGGGCTCTTGTAATTAAGGAAGAGACCTGGATTCAGGGAAGTCAAGGGACAGGCTTGGGAGCAGACAGAAAGCTTGGGAATGGCGGTTCAGGAGCAAGGCAAAAAGTTCAGAACTGGAAGATGTTGCATATATCAGTATTTCCAGGGCTTTTTTTTCCAGCCAGAACTCACCAGAACTCAGTTCTAGCACCTCTCAGGTTGGTTCCATTGCCATTCTAAGAGAACAAGGGAGGCATTCATGGTGAATTCTGGCACCTCTTTTTCTAGAAAAACAGTACTGAATATTGTGCAGTTTGAAGCGACTCGATATAAAAATTGACTCCTTTGCGAATGAAGCATTGTTCAGACTCATTAGATTGTTCAAAACTTTACTTGAAGAACTTTCTTCAAAAGCTGAACAAAAACCGATACATCCAAATAAAAAGGTTAAAGTACCCCTGACTGTTAGGTCCAGTCGCGGACGACCCTGGGATTGCGTACTCATCTCGCTCTGTAGGTCGAGGGAGCTGCCGTTTGTCTGCAGACAGCTTCCAGCTGTGGCCAGCATGACTAAGCTGTTTCTGGCAAACCAGAGCAGCACACGGAAATGCCATTTATCTTCCCGATGGAGCAGTACCTATTTATCTACTTGCACTTTGAAGTGGGCAGGAGCTGGGACCGAACAACAGGAGCTCACCCCGTCGTGGGGATTTGAACCGCCGACCTTCTAATTGGCAAGCCCTAGGCTCTGTGGTTAAGACCACAGCACCACCCGCATCCCTACAGTGCCAATAAACGATACATCCAAATCATTCTATACAATATCTTGTGCAAGTCCAGCACAGGCTCAGCATCTTAGAAATAAAATGAACTTATAACCAGAGCTGACAAACATAGCTCTCTCTAACACACAGGCTCCATTAGCCTGCATTCCAGCTCCCTAGGCTATGCAGTTCCTGAAGAGGCATCTTACTTTTACAGAGCCTGAGAACAAAGACTCAGCCACCACCCTTCCAAGAAGGCGAATTTGCAATTCAGTACCTCTCATGTGATCTAAAGTTAAAACACTATGTCAGAGCTACCAGAAAACAATAACAATAGTTAATTAGCAACCTATCTAGGCAGCTCAGAGAGCTCTTCTTGCTTAGGAGACTCCAGAGGGATTTTCCATTTCAGTGTCAATTAAACAACTGTACTTAACAGAAGGAAGCAATGGAGGCTATACAAGGAAGACATCAGGAACACCCCTGTGGAGAGGAAATCTCACAGCTCAGGGGCTGCCACAGAGAATGCCCACCACCCCAAATGACTGATATGACTAGAGCTGGTAAAGAGGTCACTTGGGAGAACATAAGGGCATCAGAAGAGTCAGGTCAATGGCCCATCTAGTCCAGCAACCTGTTCTCAGTGTGTTCAACAGGATGCCTACAGGAAGCCTCAAAACTGGGACTGAGTAGCCACCTTATTTTTGTGGTTGTAACCTGTTTTAAGCTGTTTTTAATGCTTTGGCCACCTCATGAGAAGAGAAGACTCCCTGGAAAAGACCCTGATGTTCGGAAAGACGGAGGGCACAAGGAGAAGGGGACAACAGAGGACGAGATGGTTGGACAGTGTTCTCGAAGCTACCAGCATGAGTTTGACTAAACTGTGGGAGGCAGTGGAAGACAGGAGTGCCTGGCGTGCTCTGGTCCAGGGGGGTCACGAAGAGTCGGACATGACTAAATGACTAAACAACAACAACGTTTCGTTTTAATGTTGTGACCTGCCCTGGGACCTTAGGATAAAGGGTGGGTAATTATCATCATCATCATACAGCAGCTCTTAGGGAAGAGCCATAGCTTAATGGCAGAATGCACCATTTGCATGCAGAACGCGGCAGGTCCCTTCTCCATCACTTCCACTGAAAAAGGACCACAGTGAGGAGGGATGAGGAAAACCTGGCCTGGCTCTGACTCAACACTGGACATGTTTGTGTGCAGATACAGCGTTGCCCTCCTCGGAGCTGGGAGAGCGAGAAGGAACAGGGGATAATTCATTACTCACTATCTCTCCAGCGGTGCCCCTAAATTTTGTAACAGTGCTGATGTGTTCAGTCAGCTCATGTAAGGCCTTCTCTTCCACGGGAACAGGATGTCCAAATGCCAGAGAACAAATCACTTTGGAGACTGAATGCATGATGGGCAGCGAAGGGTCCAGAGGCCGTCCTGCAGACAAACAGCCAAGACAATCTCATCAGCATTCATTCCACTGGCCCAGGGCTTTGGAGCAGGGGTCGGCAAGGCTTACCAGGCATGGGCCAGATCACTGCCGCGGAGATCCTCCATGGGCCGGGCCGGCACAGCACAACACTGGTAATCATGTCTGCTCATGTCCACAGTGCCGGAAATCACCTCTGCGCATGCCCAGATGCCAGAAATCGCGCTTACGCAGAAGTGATTTTTGGCGTCTGGGCATGCTCAGAAGCGATTTCTGGCGCCGCAGGCATGCGCAGACGCAGTTTCTGGTGTCTGGGCATGCGCAGAAGCGATTTCCAGAGCTGCAGAAGAGAGACCCCGTGCCACGCTGCGCCAGTTTAGCGCAATGCGCAAGGACTCACCGAGCGGGCGGCTCATGGACTGGTTAAATGGCCTCTGTGGGCCACTTCCGGCCCATGGGCCTTAGGTTGCCAACCCTTGCATTAGAGACGTTGGGAGAGAACCACAGATCTACCCCACTCTGAATGTTTCAGAGTATTGTGGCCTCAGAACCAGACATTTCAGGTGCCTCCAGTCGAGTCTGTCACTATTTTGCAAAAAGGATACAAGGGTTTACTGGAGTTTCGGGTTTATGCGGTTAAAGTGAATTAAAATACTCTGTTGACCTATTTCAATAAACCCCACTTTTTATATTAAAAAAAAGAAGAAAACAACTTTTTTACAATTAGAAAAATGCACTGAAAAGTGGGGGGTGGACAAATGATTAACAGGAAGTATATAAACACCCCGCAGGCAAATCTGGATGAATGTTTTTAATTGTTTATAATAGTTTTTTTAATGTTGCAACCCACCTTGGGACCTTAGGATGAGAACGGCAGGCCATAAATAAATACATAATTGGAAGGAGAAGGAGAGGGGGAGGAGGAAGAAGAAGAAGAACTGTATAGTTTGAAGGGAATGCAGGAATATTTTGCCCAACATGAGGCTCAGACCCACCACCCTGAGATTAAGAATCTTATGCTCTACCATCTCTTTTTAAAAAAATATTAATCTTTATTGGTTTAAAATCAACACATACACACAAAGAACATTTAGGAAAAAAGCAAAGAAGAAAACAAAAATAAAACAGACAAAGAAATAGCAAAATTATACAAAATTTGCTTTTTAAAAGTTAGAAAGGAAAGGAGGATTCCACATGCGGCTTTCACATTGCATAGTTCCTGTCCATTTGTGGCTGTCTTTGAATACAACTGAACTGACCGTCCTGCAGACGCTTTCCACTTGCAGTTCTCCTGTGCTGCACTTCATGTCCAGCAGTTGCTGCCTCTTGATAGATTTCAGCTGAGCTGTGACTTCAAATGCTTGCAAGCCGCCCTGAGCAGTGCAGGGGGAGGGGGCAGGGCCTTGCAAAGGAAAAGCAGGTTCGAAAGGTGCGAGTCAGAAGGAAAGGAAATTAAAATAAAGATCGGAAGAGCAGGCAGCAGCGCCTGGCGTGAAATGGGCGGACCGGCAAAAGGAGGCAAAAGCCTACAGCACCCGGTATTCCCAGGCGGTCTCCCATCCAAGTACTAACCAGGCCTGACCCTGCTTAGCTTCCGAGATCAGACGAGATCGGGCGTGTTCAGGGTAGTATGGCCGTAGACGCTGTACCAGCCTCCCAACCCAGCCTTTAAGCAAGAGCGCAGGGAAAGCGCCTCCCCCGAGGCCCTGGATGCTTTCCCCACGCTGCGTTCGCCTTGCGTAGCTCCTGTCCATTCGTGGCTGTCTTTGAATGCAATTCAACTGAACAGCCTGCAGATGCATTCCGCTTGCAGCTCTCCTCTGGAGCACTTGATGTCCAGCAGCTGGCGCTCTCCAGCGGTGGTGAAAGCACATTTGTCGGCGGTCAGCCTCTGGCCTAGCAATTCTCGGCGGAGTAGCTCATTTGGGGCCCTGGATGCTTTCCACGTGCAAGCAGGTTTGAAAGGGGCAGGTCAGAAGGAAAGCAAGTGAAAGGAAAGATCGAAAGAGCAGGCCGCAGCGCCTGGCATGAAATGGGCGGCAAGTGGAGGGGCAGAGTTGAAAGCGGGGCCGCTGAGCGGCAAAAGGAGGCAAAGCCTACGGCACCCGGTATTCCCAGGCGGTCTCCCATCCAAGTACTAACCAGGCCTGACCCTGCTTAGCTTCCGAGATCAGACGAGATCGGGCGTGTTCAGGGTAGTATGGCCGTAGACGCTGTACCAGCCTCCGAACCCAGCCTTTAAGCAAGAGCGCAGGGAAAGTCCCTCCCCTTTCTGCAGAACAAATCTTCAGGCAATGGCCACAATTCATTGCATTCAACGGCAGTTAGCCCTTCTCTCTCTTTCGTCACAAGCACACACTTGCATTGAAAAAGTATACAATACATTTTTTACAAACAAACAAGCGAAGATTTGTAACACTGCTTCACCAATACACAAAAATATTTCAACGTCCGACCTCCTTGATATGGGTCCTTGTTTCCTCAATTCCTTGCCTCTAATATTCCAACAAATTTGATCTGTACTAAATCTTGTTTGTATTCTTTTTACCTTATTTCCATTTGAGAGTTATTCGAAGCATTCTAAAGCTTTTATATGGGGACATGGTTCTTTTAGATATTGTCTATACATCTCCCCTTCATGGATCCCCTTCATGGATCACTGCCTTGCCGTGGCGAAGGGGCTTGAATAACTCAGAGAAGCTATGAGGTATGCCGTGCAGGGCCACCCAAGATGGACAGGTCATAGTGGAGAGTTTTGACCAAACGTGATCCACCTGGAGCAGGAACCAGCAAGCCACTCCAGTATCCCTGCCAAGAAAACTCCATGGACAAAGACTTCCAGTTGGTCGTGCAATTAATGGCGGATGAGAGCTCTTTCATCTGAAAGAGCCCTTGTGCTTTGAAGATAGGGGTGACCGCGAGAGCGTCGCGGAGCCCCGAAAAAACCTCAGAACGAGCGTTCTGAGGATCTGGTTTCCCATGCGTACCCCTTGCGACTCCCCTGCTCCCCAGTAAGCTCTAATAAGAGCCCCGAGAGCGAGCGGGGTTGGAGACGCAAGTACTGTGGAATCTACTCGCTTTCTTCATTGCGCGAAGCTCCGAAGTCCGGCAATCATGAGCAACCAATTTCTCCGACCAAATTATAAAAGATTGGACAATCGTGAGTAAAAAAAGGCTTTAAATTTGGACAATTAATTGGACTGAAGGGATTTAAATTACGGAAGTCGATCCCTTTCCACTGAAGTAAAAGTGAAAGCAGTTGTTGCTGACAATTTTAAAAGAATGTTTAAAACTTCCAAGGAAACTTTCTAAACCCCTCTTTCTGCAGGGTGAAGGGGGAGAATTTGACTGAATTGAGAGACCCTGCATAAGATAGACAGATTGTGTGTGAGCTGAGAGAGAAGCAGGCAGAAGCCAGATTGAGAGAGCCGTGCTTGATTACTGCTGGAATCCAAGGCTGTGACTCTCGAGGAAGCAAGATCTTTTGGGGTGCTAATGCTCTGAGCCCCTCCATCTTTGGCTCAGGTTGCCTATATGTGTAAATAAACCATGTATCCTCAAGACGCTACAGTCTCTGGTTTCCCTCATTCCAAGGAAACCGAACCCTGGGTAAGTGTCTGGAACCCCTGGAATCTCTCACCAATAGGAGATTTGGGGTGGCCTGCAACAGTACCCCAGATGAGCATCTGGCTGCCCTGTGGTCTGATGAAGAAGGACTCGCCATATATTTATATATCTCAGGATTAAAATTGTAAAGCAGAGTTCCAAGCACGGGTCTTCTTCTATGAGCCTGGAAGACTGTTACCTACTTGGAAGCATCTATTTCACTTTAAGGGCAGATCTGAGGATGTGTTCAAGCTCCATTGATGGGTTGGAATGAAGGGCCAGGAATCACCATTTCTGCAGAGCAAAATTCCTGCAGCTGTTGCATTATAATCCAGCAGGTAGGCTAGCTAGCCAGCAGCTGCATATCAGCAAGTACAAGCGCCTAATTTTTTAGCCATTGCTTACGTACCTTTTTCCTGTGCAAAGGCCTCCACGAGTTGAGCAGCTTCCTCTTCTATTTGATGCTCCAGACACATCTTCATTTGCCCCATCTTCTGCAGGGTAGATCGTGCAAAATGCCTCTGCTGCTTCCAGGTTTTGCCATTGGAGAACATAATACCTGCAACAATATTTTTTTATTAAAAAAAACCCAGTGTTGGGTCGTTCTTGGTTAGGTGGTTCACAGCTAGAGGTGAATGAATCAATACAGTCATACCTCAGAAGTCGAACAGAATCCATTCCAGAAGTCCATTCGACTTCCAAAACATTTGACTTTCAAAGCGCGGCTTCTGATTGACTGCTGTGATGTCGGCGGTGGGGAGAGCGATCCCCTGCACGCTGCGGCGGTGGCTCCAGCCGCTGCGCACAGGGGGGCGAGCCCCCTGCGGTGTGCCTTTTTGTCACCCCCCTCAGGGATGGCACCCGGGGCACACCGCCCCCACCTCCCCCCTTCCTACGCCCCTGCCTCCAACAGACACAGCAGCCCAGGTGCCCTGCAAGCCCAGGGCCACTCGCGGGGGCAGCACAGAGGCTGGTGGACAGCCAATGCATCCCCCTCAGCTACCCTCAGCTGGAGGGCACCTGAGAAGGACACACTCACTTCGGTGGAGCATGGTGCACCACTGGTAAGAGTTTCTAAATTATTTGATGGCTTGCTAAAGCCACATAGTCTAGGCTTGGAGCAACCACCCTAGACATCCTTCCTGGTAGGGTTCACATGGTGGAAAGAGAAAACAAAGAGATTGGTAACCCTTCCTCCTACCTAGCTCAGCCTGGCAGGACAGCTTGCTCTGTGGTCTTAACCCTTTAATGCATTAATTAGAGTTAAGCATATTGGTTACATGAAACTGGATATATCCCACACTTTCCATGCTGGCTGAGGAAAAGAAAGGAAAAGACCCCTCCCCACATTCCAAATAAAAATGGCTGAGTGCAACAACTTACCCTTTTCATTGCCCAGAATTTTAACAACAGGGAACATTGGTTGTCCAGACAATGCTTCTGGGTTGTCCGTTAGACTATTATCAACAGCCTCAAACCCAGACAATACAATCACAGGAGTATGTCCTATCCATAACGTGAAAATGTTTCCATAACTGTTTGCAAGCTGTAAGTGGAGTCAAAGCAAACAAAACAAATGTTATGCTCAGGGCCAAGCTAGTTGATATGCAGATTGTATAACAGCATACAATGTATTTATTATTATTATTTATTAAATTTATTACTACTACTATATTGCAGTTGGATCAGGACCACAATGTATGGGGAGGAAGGTCTTTGGTTCTGGGGAAAATACCCACTTCCCCTCCACTCCCATTGAAAAGCTGCAATGGCTCCTGGGACTGGTGGAGTGGAGACACTTGTGGAATTGTTAGGCGAAATTTTGATGCCTGAAGCATGTGTTTCTGACCTGAATGTTTGTTCTGCTGATGCTCTTTGGGGCCACGGAGAAGAATTTGATGTGATTCCGTTATTGGGACAAGAACACCTAGTGTTTCTGTTGACAAAAGTCTGTCTCATTAGCTAAAGGTAAAGGGACCCCTGACCATTAGGTCCAGTCTGGGGTTGCGGCGCTCATCTTGCATTATTGGCCAACGGAGCCGGCGTACAGCTTCTGGGTCATGTGGCCAGCATGACTAAGCTGCTTCTGGCGAACCAGAGCAGCGCACGGAAACGCCGTTTACCTTCCCGCCGGAGCGGTACCTATTTATCTACTTGCACTTGGAAGTGCTTTTGAACTGCTAGGTTGGCAGGAGCAGGGACCGAGCAACAGGAGCTCACGCCGTCGTGGGCATTCGAACCGCTGACCTTCTGATCAGCAAGTCCTAGGCTCTGTGCTTTAACCCACAGCGCCACCTGCATCCCTGTCCCAACAAAATAGAAAGTGTGGAGGAAGACCACAGGGACTGGTGGATGCTGGCACTTCCTTTCAGCATCTCTACCATAAAATATTCACTGCCTTTTGAATTTTACTGCCCTTCTGATTCTGCCACCCTACTTCGCCTCATGAGTAAACCAGCTCACACTCAAGTCGGCCTTCGCTTTGCTTTGGCAGTTAGGCTGCTGCAGTTAGGCTGCTGCAGCTGCTAAAAACAGAAGAAGTCTGTAGCCCAGTGGCAGAACATCTGCCTTGCATGTAGAAGGACCCAAGCTTAATCTCCACTGACATCTCCAGGGTGGGCTGGGAGAGGCCCACTGTCTGAAACCTTGGAGCATCCCTGCCGGTTATTGTAGACAATATTGAGCTAGCTGGACCAATGGTCTGGCTTGGTACAAGGCCACTTCCTGTGTCCCTGTGCTTAACAGTGGACTTGCACTGGGGATTCTTCCTGAAAAGACCTTCCAATCTGGAATGCCTGCAGGAGCCCAAAATTCTCAGCATTTTAGGAAAACTCTCCTAAAGCTCCCAATGACCTGCACCCGAAGAAAGAAAAATGTCAGCTCGGGGCTTAACCTTGCTCAAGCAACAGGCAATGCAATCCACACTTCACCCCTCCCTGTTTAAACCCTCCCACAGAGATGGAAAGAGGCAGTTTGTCGTGAAGAGGCAAGCTGGGAGAGGGATTAGGACCACCACCACCACCCTGCTGCAATTCTGCTTCTGCATTCCAAATCAGTGTTGTATTATACAGTTACTGACTCACACGAAAGGGTTAACCTGCACCCTGAGCTCATATTACCATGGGTGGGACTTAGCAAGCTGTCAACAGCCTTTGCTTCCTCTCTCCCCCATTTTCTCTCTGTTCTTCCTTAAACAAGCAGCAGCCAAGCAATGATTCCCAGCTACAAGAAAGAAAACATGTGAAAATCTATTTAAGATGAGATTCTCATAGCCTGCAGACTGCATCTTGTCAGGAGGACTGCTCCACACAGTGTAGGAGTTGGGTCTCTATTTCTGTGGCACCTTGGGGGACATTGCAGATTACATGGCCGATGTCCCACACCTTCTAGTGCATTTTCCCCTCACTTGCTCATCACAACATGGGTTTTGTTGCACACAATCTCATCAGTCAGGTTGCAATTGTGCAACGTGAATTTGCAGGTATGTAGCTGAACCCCATCCAAAAATAGCAAGAATCTGGAAGTACCCGTAGGTTCCTCACCCGCACCTCCACTTTTTGTATAATTGTTTAGATAATTTATACCCCGCCCTCTGTCGGCAGATCTCAGAGCAGGCTATAACAACAACAAAACACCACAATCAGACTGAGGGATAGCTCAGTCAGTAGAGAATGAGACTCTTAATCTCAGAGTCGTGGTTTCAAACCCCATGTTGGGCAAAAGTTCCCTGCATTGCAGGGGGTTGGACTAAATGTCCCTCATGTTCCCTTCAAACTCTTGTTGTTGTTTAGTTGTTTAGTCGTGTCCAACTAATCATGACCCCATGGACCAGAGAACGCCAGGCACTCCTGTCTTCCACTGCCTCCCGCAGTTTGGTCAGACTCATGCTGGTAGCTTCGAGAACACTGTCCAACCATCTTGTCCTCTGTCGTCACCTTCTCCTTGTGCCCTCCATCTTTCCCAACATCAGGGCCTTTTCCAGGGAGTCTTCTCTTCTCATGAGGTGGCCAAAGTATTGGAGCCTCAGCTTCACGATCTGTCCTTCCAGTGAGCACTCAGGGCTGATTTCCTTCAGAATGGAGAGGTTTGATCTTCTTGCAGTCCATGGGACTCTCAAGAGTCTCCTCCAGCACCATAATTCAAAAGCATCAATTCTTCGGCGATCAGCCTTCTTGATGGTCCAGCTCTCACTTCCATACATCACTACTGGGAAAACCATGGCTTTAACTATACGGACCTTTGTTGGCAAGGTGATGGCTCTACTTTTTAAGATGCTGTCTAGGTTTGTCATTGCTTTTTTCCCAAGAAGCAGGTGTCTTTTAATTTCGTGGCTGCTGTCACCTTCAAACTCTACAGTTCACTGATTCTGTGATTCTATGATTATTTAATTATCTCCTTTTGATTCTAAGATTGATACTTCCAATGCATGCTTAACCATCCGTCGCCTGCTACTGTTTGGCATGCCTTCTTCTCAGCTCTGCCTCTTCTTTTTCTCTTTCAGCTGGTTGTTTGTTTGTTTGTTTGTTTGTTTGTTTGTTTAGAACAGAAGTGGGAATAAGGTAGACTGGGATCAAGTGGTAGATCTTTGAGGGATATGCACTAAAACAGCAAGGCTTTCCGATCCCCTGCTGCTTCAAAGTAAGAAGAGCAAAATGACTTTTCCCACCCGATGGCACAATCCTAAGGAAAAATCTGATGGGGATGAGCAGTTAGGACCCAGTAGATCTCCAGCTGAGCTAAGAGGTTTCTGGCTCAGCAGGGCTATGCCAGCTTAAATCCCCCATCCTGGTTGAGCTGCAGATACGTCAGCCTAAGTCCTTCATCCAGGTTTAGCTGGGGCTCAGTTGGCTGAGCTGAACCCAGCAGGTCTTAAGCTGGTGTCAATCGTGGAAAGGGGGCGTTCTGGGGGAGTGCCAAGTGTGGAAACAGAACAGGTGGGGCAAGGAAACTTAGGCTGGATCCAACATATTATTATTATTATTATTATTATTATTATTATTATTATTATTAGGTGGGCCCTGTAAACATACACATCAAGTGTCAGAATCCAGGGGAAGGAGTGCATTTTCAGCATTCTCTGAAAGCTGCATAATGAAGGTGCCAGAGGGGGAGGGGTGGAGTTCACAGCTTTGGGGCTGCCATAGAGAATGCCCTCTCTCCAGCCGCCAACCACCAAGCCTCTGAGGGCCTCCTCTGCCGATCTCAGCAGCTGAGAGGGTCTGTAGGGGAGGTGGTGGCAGAGAGAAATCCAGCGTCAGAGATGAGTCCAGCTGGTGAAGAGGCACAAATGTCTCCCCTTCCTGCTGCTCCCCTCCCCCTCTGGTCTCCCAGAACCAGAAGAGGCATGAAAAGGGTGGGAAATAGGTTGGCGGCACGCAGACAGACACGGTCTCCGATTGCTTGGGGAAAGCCCTGGAGAGGAAGAGACTTAGGCAGCTGTGGGGAGGCAGGGACTTTCAGTCTTGGCAGCTGACATTTAAGGAGTAAGACCGCCAGGAAGGAGCTGCTGTGGTTGTTAGGCCTGACACTCAACCAACTCTGTGGAGATCGTGTTTTTGCTCATGAAGAGTTAACTCCAGCTTTGAACTGTGTGATTATGGACCAGCATGCTCCTGTGACAACCCTATAGGATTTACACCACATTGTAAGTCCAATTAAATACAAACCAATTTCAGTGTTGGATTAGGGCATCACCATATAGGCAGTTCACTGGGGCAAGTGGGGCACTGGTTGGCCAACCTCAGTTTGCCCTCAAGCGCCACCACCTGCCCATCTTATGTAGAACCTGTCCACTGCTTGTTGGCTCCTTACTCCGTGGTTCTACTCACTACAGTTGCCTTTGTGGGCAACGCAACAGGACCAGAGCAAACTGGCTCGACCTATCTATTTATTTATTATTACCTTTATATTCCACCTTTCTTCTCAAGGCAGTGTACCTGGTTCTATCTTTCTCTATTTTATTAGTTCCCAATGGGCACCAGCAACCACTGCATACGGGGTATTTTCCTGCCCTGTTCACCCACATACCTAGTGGGGGCAAGAAAAGGCCCAGCTAGATGATGTCCCATGTTGACACTGCATTACATGTTACTGGAAATAGTTGAGACAAGGACAGGAAGGAGTAGTAACGCAATTTTTGCTGCAGTGCTCTGACTCCACCATCGGACACACTCCCACAGCTCCCTGAAGCTCTGTGAAGGAGCCATCATCTCATTGAGGACCACCACAAAGCGAGTGGCACATTAATCAACACATGATAAAACTCGCTGTGTTGTCCTGGTCTTTCAGGACGAGTTCCCCACCCACCTCTCCAGCTATGCTATTGTTGGTTCGGCTGCTATTATCGTTTAGAAAAATACCTTCATCAAAGTATCCTGACGAATCTTCCAGCCAACTCTCCACAGGCTTCCGATGAGAGGGAATGGAAGAGGTCCGGGGGGGAGCCGTCGGTGCTTCCAAAAGAGCTTTACAAACTGCACAGTCAGACAACAGATGACCACAGCAACCAGAACTTCACTTGGCCCCATGTTTACCTGACCGTTCTCTCTGAGTTAGATGAATGACTTTGTTCTGGGCTGACTTCCTGGTTTCTCTTAAAAGACTCAGTGCTCTTTTATACCCTTCCATCACATCATACGGAGAGATGCTGCCCAGAGATACGCTATAATTAAGCAGGGAAGAATTATGCGTCATTTCAGGCACATTATAGCCTAGGAATGTGGCTGTCCTCTTTTGGCACGTGAGGTGTGAACATTCAAGATGCTCAGATAAAGCAAGGAAGGTCTTAATTGCCATCAGACCCTGCATGCCCACACAGTTTAAAAGGCCACTGAACATTTAATTGGCCAAAAATCTGGGACAAGAGGAAAGTTTTCGCCTGATGCCTAAAGATATGTAATGAAGGTGCCAGGAGAGCCTCCCTGGGGAGAAAATTCTGCAAATGGGGCCACCACAGAAAAGGCCCGCTCCCCTGTTGCTACCCTCTGGACCATACCCTCCAGCATGTTGAGGCTGAAAACCATACCTTCTTGTGTTCCCACACAAGTAATGTGACCTGTGTGAGTTAACAGAGCCCCAAAACAAACTTTTTTTTTTAACTCTGGCTCTTGGGCATTTTGACCCAAAACTTGTGTTTTTGGGGGGCGCAGCTCCTAAAAATGGGATGCCTCAATTTAATCACGGCAGTTGAAGGGTATGTTGGACCTCTTGTGGGGTAGGCACATGAAGAAGGGCCTCAAATTGTGATTGCAAGGTCTGGGTTTGTTCATATGGGGGGAGGCAGTCCTTGAGGTATTGTGCTCCTGAGTCCTGACCTAAGCTGGATCGGAGGCAGTGGGAGAGAACCAAAGCCATGGCTTTGGATATTCTCACAGAGATCTGGTTGGTCTATCTCTGTTCAAGACAAAACACCTTCCCCTCCCACTTCTTTCTCTGGTGCACTTTGATGACATCGCCTCCAGCCAGCAGAGCGGGGCAACTACATCGTGCTTCACATATGGCTTTTGCCTTCCACAAGAGCCTATCCATGGAGAAACATCTCCTTAGCAAAAGAATGGTGGCTGACTTTTGCCAGACCTTTCATCATCACCATCATCATCATCAGTTTATTATTTATACCCCGCCCATTTGGCTGGGTTTCCCCAGCCATTCTGGGTGGCTCCCAACAGAGGACTAAAAATAGAATAAAACTTCAAACATTAAAAACTTCCCTAAACAGGGCTGCCTTCAGATGTCTTCTAAAAGTCAGATAGTTGTTTATTTCCTTGACATCTGATGGGAGGGTGTTCCACAGGGTGGGCACCACTACCAAGAAGGCGCTCTGCCTGGTTCCCTATAACCTCACTTCTCACAGTGAGGGAACCACCAGAAAGCCCTCAGAGCTGGACCTCAGTGTCTGGGCTGAACGATGAGGGTGGAGACACTCCTTGAGGTTTACTGGGCCGAGGCCATTTAGGGCTTTATAGGTCAGCACCAACACTTTGGACAGTCCGTGTCCATTCTGCTTGTTCCATCACTCTTCTGCTGACCAAAACTCAATCTTACCATCAAGAATTGCATGGCGGCAGGGGATCCCTCAGAAGACATCCAGGCTACCCCTCCCAAAAAAATGTACATTCTTTAGATTTAATATATTTAACCGTGTGTAGTAGTCTTCTCTCCCAGGTATAAGTGGGGAAGTTGACCTTTTTGTGACTTACTGATGCAAGCTGAGCACACTTGGACTAATCTGCATAACTTGGTCATCCACCAGTTTTTGCATTTCCTTAATGTTCTGCAGCTCAGAAAATGCATCCAAGTACATTGAGATATGCACATTTTGAGTGAAAATGTTGAAATATTCCAGAAGCCATATTAGGCTAGCCAAAATGTCACAAAATAGTGTGGAAGCTTATGTGTTCTCCAGAACTCCTCATCAGGCCAGATGGTATGAATTTTTATGTGGATGAAAAATAATAATAATTGAAGATCAATGGAAAATCTTTATTGGTGAGCACATGAAAGAAAAATGGCATGGATCAGAAACATATTTAGCCTTTCAGCCTGATGTTCACTTACGTGGGAGTAAGTCCAACTTAACTCAAGTGCACTTGTTTCTTGTCTGAGTAGACCATGTTTAAGTTTGTACAGGCATTTAGCCATTCCAACCCTAAACCTTTGCATTCTTTGGCCACATACCGTATTTTTCGCTCTATAGGACGCACTTTTTCCCCTCCAAAAATTAAGGGGAAATGTGTGTGCGTCCTATGGAGCGAATGCAGGCTCCTTGGCTTCAGCGATAGCAACGCAAAGCCTCCGAAGCACAGAGGGAGCGCTCCCTCCACGCTCCGGAGGCTTTGCATTGCTTTTGCTGCAGCCTGGAAAGCAAGAGGCATCGGTGCACACCGACCCCTCTCGCTCTCCAGGCTTCAGGGATAGCCCCCTGAAGCCTTCGGAGTGCAGCGTGAGTTCCCGCTGCGTTCTGGAGGCTTCAGGTTCCTTTCGCTGAAGCCAGGAGAGTCTTGCTCTCCCGGCTTCAGCAAAAGGAACCTGAAGCCTGAGGAGTACAGTGGGAACTTGCGCTGCGCTCCAAAGGCTTTAGGGATAGCCGCGCGCAGCCCCTCAGGCAGGGAGAGGCTGCACAGGGCTATGGCTTCTTTAGGCCCGCGCAGCCTCTCCCGGCTGGAAAGGTTGCGTGCAGCTAAAAAGGAAGCCAAGGCAGTGAGCGGGATCCATCCCGCTCGCTGTCTTGGCTTGTGCCATAGCCGCATGC